ATGGTGCTTGCTTGCTTGCGTGCGTGTCTCGTGTTGTTCGGGCCGCCACATGTGCCAGTTTGTTGTAGGAGCGTCTTGCCCAACAGCCAAAAAATCTCCGATAGCACGGCACGACAAAATGTGGAATATCTCGAGCACNGCCAGTTTGTTGTAGGAGCGTCTTGCCCAACAGCCAAAAAATCTCCGATAGCACGGCACGACAAAATGTGGAATATCTCGAGCACCAGAGTTTTCCCGGGAAAAATAAGAAATACATATCGTTTCCCGCTGTTTATGTTGGAATCGGTTGGTTAGCTATTGTGCTGTAAACGAAACAACTCTACCCTCCAGATTAAGTTTTTCCTGGATATCTCCTTCGAAAACACCTATCTGCGGAATTCCGAGTTCCGTCCAAACCCATTGAGTTTTTGTGAATCGGCTGGTGAGTTATCGTGCCGTAAACGAAACAAGTTTTTCCGGTTTCTCGGATGTATAAGTCAAGGAAAAATAGAAAAACTCCGTCACGCCCTGCGCCTGTAAACAGGGCGATTGCGGGTACTTTCAGAGTTTTTTTCGAACAACCACCTGTGTGCAGAGAAAAGTTGCACTTTGTGCATGGGAAGTTATTGGACAAATTGTTGTGCACGGACCGTAGCTAGGATTAATCTGCCCACCGAGAGCCACGATTTTGTAGTATGGTCGATGTTGATGAGCAAGCACAATCATAGGGTCTCGTTGAAATTTTCGAATATCTACAGTTCGCTCACGGCGCACACATATGAACGCTCCGGTTGGGCGCGGCGTTGCGTTGCCCCCGTGCCTCCAAAACCGACATAGAGATGAGGTTGCGGGAAGGTACGGAACGAAGTGTAACCTTCTCAACTTTCTTGAATGTGCACCTTTGTTTGCAAAGTGCAAAGAATGCAGAGATTCGAACACCACACAAGCCACGTTTCAAAGTACCTCGCCGTGTAACTATGCACCACATGGGGTTCACCTTTTTTTGTACCTTCTTTTTGCGTTTTTGTTTGTATGGCTTTCGGTTGCACAAACAAGACTTCACAACACCAACACTTCTTCTTTCCTCTCCTTTCAAAACTCAACCCGCAGCCGCTTGCCATCGCCATGCAACCTATGAACGCAGCGGCGACCGCCGGCGGCGGGCGGTCGTCCGCGAAGCGGCCTTGTGTGTACCTGTACGATTTGGTCATTTTTGGTGCTTGGCCATTTCTTTCTCTCCCGGCGGCGAGGTATTTGTCGCGGTTCCTTCTCAGGGGCACGCAGTAGGCTCGTGGGTACATTATCGCTCATGCGGGGAGCTCGGCAGGCGTCCGTGTGGCGTGTAGTTGACGGTCAAGGTCGCACAAACTGGCTCTATTCCCCGGGGACGCGTTTCTCGCGGAAGCCAGGCGCCAATTCTGAAACTCACCATCAACGACAGAAAGGAAAATCGCCCGCATGCACATATGGAACAGGTTTGTCGCTACCAACGACAAGTAGCCGAGATACCTTATCAGATGCCCCCACAATGAATCTCTACTCGTGTTGATTCTTCAAAGCTTGTGCCATCACATGTGTTTCGTGGTATTTCGTCTGAATATATCGGGTGTCGCCGTTCGCACCCTGTAGCGAGCAAGATCGCTTGTTTGAAGAATTTGCCTCTTGACTGGTGTTGATCTCCGTCATTCATCAATTCGCTGATTCCAGATGGCTGTAACACTT